TGATACAAAAATTCACGACACTATACTGTTGGTACTTTTAAACGTATTCGTATCGAGATATACGTGACAAATTTGTGACACAATGGCAACTATAATTAGCGATACAAAACGAAATATATCGTTCCATACGACGATACGCCGGCAAACGAATTTTTCCGAGTGTTTGACACAGGAAACTCTTACGCAAGCTAGACTTAACTTAGCAAGTTAGTAATGTGATTTACCTGTATTTTAACACTAAAACCGCCGATAATGTTATTTTAGTTTCACTAATAAGTGCTTCCCATTTAGTGATACAAGTTGATACAAACCTCATTCTATCTTTCTTAATATGCAGTAACAAAGATGAAACTTGTGTCGACTTATATATCACCAAATGATAAGCACCTAATTATTTAAATTTTTTCTTTTTTGTATTAAATATACAGTATAGAATATTGAAAATATATGAATATGATGCAAATATTTCTAACGATATAAATAATTTAGAAAAAACATAAGTCAAAACGCTGGTTATCAATTGTTCAGCTAAAAGATCAAATAACAACTTACCTAAAGAACGGGTCAAATAATTTTCCATACCGTATTTAGAAGAGATATCGAATAAATTCAAGAATGCAATTAATGGGGTTTGTCATACGGTTTCATTTTTTAGTTTGAATCAGTTTATTAAGGTCCATAAAGATTCTTTAAATAATGAATTAAAAAGAAATGTAGCCTACAAGATCAATTGTGATTGCGATGCTTCCTATGTGGAACAAACAGGGAGAAAATTAAAAATCAGACTCTCTGTACACCAAAAGCATATCCATAGTCAAACATCCACTCATTCAGTGATTACAGAGCATAGGTTGCAAAACGATCATGACTTTGATTGACAAAACGTAGAGATTTTGGATGTAGAGAATTATTATAACAAAAGGTTAATTTCGGAGATGATGCACGTTAATCGACAGACCAATGAGTTAAATCTACAACATGATACCGTTGACTTAAATCATGCATACATTGAGATTTTCAATAAACTTTAAGGTTTGTTCGTAATATAATACATGTCATAAACTTTAGTTTGTTTATCTTTAAATTGACCGCTATGTTACTTATTTAGCAATCATTATTTAACCGACTGTCGAAATAACAAGACGCATATTGTTCTCGCAGTTATTAATTTTAAAATTTGACGATAATTTTTAACATATTAACGAGTTACAAAATGTTACATAAGAAAGATTCATTGTTCAGTGTAGAAGCGTCGACTTAATTTTTAATTATACATACGATAATTTAATCATTTATATAATTTTAGCTTGAGTTCTTATTGCCTCAGCTTTCTAACTTTGTGAGTATGTGACTTACCTCACACAGTTAACAGTTCAATTTTGAGAAGAAAAACGTTGGAGATGTTATTTTGTTATGCAATACTCCAACCGTTGCGCTAGGGGGAAAGTTTGCTGATGAAGACTCAAACCATGAAACGTGGAAATGTTCAAAAAGTTAGATTTATATTTTTAGTATTAAGAAGAATTGCGCTAATTGATAACCAGCATTGACTCCTATTGCCTGTACTGTATGTTTTTTCTAAATTGTTTTAATTTAAGGAGTCTATAAAAACTTATTATTTTTTGTTAATTTGTAATTTCTCAGATATAAATAATATCATAATAATTCCTCTTTTCACTAACTGAAAACAGGAATAGGAAATTGTTAAATTAGCACCTTCGGTAGTTTTAGCAGGACATCATCGGCGATGTTAATTAAGAAGATTTTTACACGTTTATACAACGATGTATATTTTATTTATGGTACATCGTTCTCATCTTTATAAATCAAAATTCTTATTAAATTATATAGTTGTTGAATTACTCTTTTGATAACACAAATTTTTAATATTATATGCACATTTTGTTTGTATTCTTTGGAACTTTATATTTGTTGTACGAATGTAAAAAATTATTACTCATTGATACATGTATTACGTAAATACGTGGCAATTATTGTATCGATTTACGACATTCTCTTGTATGTTGGTCTTTATCTTGATATATTTTTACATATTTGCAGAGCGATCACCGGATAAGAAATCAGCCACGTTACCTCATGCTGGCGGTAACACTTCGATGTCAACCGAGAGAGCCACACGGCCACTACCACCGCCGCCTGAAAGATCTTATATAGACAAGCCCTGGTTTCATAATATTTCGAGGGAACAAGCAATTATTCTAATCAAAGAACGTATGTATTAACTAGGTTTTTTAAATTAAAATTATATTTCTAATGCTTAAGCTTTGCAAAGAGAAACTCAAGCATAAATTTTTTTAATTATCAAAATTGAAGTCGTGAATTATAACTTTAGAATACATTATAATAGAAATATCTTATATCAATATATTTGATCTACTTTATCATTTTTCTATTATAAAACTTTTCACTTAAGATACGAAAATAATGTAGAATTTATAATTTGATAAGAAGTAACTATTGAATATGTAATTGTACATTTTTAGAAGGTACTTACAGTAATCCGCAAGACGGATATTTTCTTTTGAGACCGTCAATGACAAATCTTGGTAATCCTTTAACCTTGGTTCTTTGGTACAAGGATAGGGTCTACAATGTTCCGGTCAGAAAAAGAAGTGACAACAGGTATATACCTTGTTTATTAACATTATTATTATATTAAGAGGTTTTTTGCCGTATATTTAATAATATTCGAATCCAATTTTAGCTGTTGTGAAAAACATTATGTTAATATTGTATTAACGTGATAAAATGATTGGACAAAATCTTATAGGACCAACATTTTACATATAATTGAAAAATTTTGATATATCAGCTTATTTTATCTTAAGAGTACAAATATGAAAATCATCCTTTTTATTGATAACTCGCGTGCAATATTTATAAAGTTATTTTTTGTTAATTTATTATTAACATGTATAAATAAAATTTGATTTAAAAGAATGTTATCTACAATTGTTTAGATACGCATTGGGCTCTGCGAAAGTGAACGAGCTGTCTTTCTCGACGGTTGAAGAGATCATAGTGTTTCATATGAAGGAAGAACTCATGCTCTACAGCGGCGGCGTACAGACCGGAAGTACTAAATTGACTGATACTCCACCAAAATGATTTTAGTCCACTACGTCCAATTCTACTTTAGGCAGGAAGAAAAGATTTTCGTCGATAAAATTTCGCTGTACATAAGAGTTATACATGACGTGTATAAACACTGCCGAGCAAACATTTTTGCTAGATATTTCAACAATATAAAGAATAGCCTGACGAACAAGAATTTAAGTGGTGCCTTTGTGTACATTTATAACAGATACATGAATTAATCATTTTCGTAATCGCGTTGCATAAAATATTATTGTTAATATTATTCCAATAATAAGTTCTGATTCGATTTTTATGTCTAAGGTTCATCTTAACAATTATACGTACCTTCAATAAAATGACGTAATAAGCTCGAATATTGAACGGATCTCTATTATGATACACATATTACATATATTTTTAATATATATCTCAATCTCTTATTAAATAGGTATATTAAGAATTTAAGAGTTTATAGCGCGACTTCATTTGTCGTTTTAAAAAAAAAATTTGGCAATTATACTGTTCGCTAGAGCAAAGTTTCAGGTTTAATAGAATCTATGTTTTTTTTAAATTGCGGTGTGCGCGTTGGCGATTTTTGTTAATGGAGTTATGAGCAATTAAAAAAATGCTTCTTTTATTTATCCTCGATAACTCAATAATAAAAAATTAGAGACATTAAAAAACGATTTTGTAGGGAAAACTTTAAGCTTTCACGTTATAAAGTCGAAAATTTTTACAAGTTTTTTTGGACCGTGTCAGATCACAAAGTGAAAAAAATTTCGTTTTTCCAGCTCGTAGCTTTCTATATGTAAAAATTACCAAATTCATAGAAATTCAAAAAATATAGCGACCTTTCGAAAGTTGAGATTTTTAATTTTTTCTAAAGCCCTTTTTTCTATTTAAATTTTGTTCATTTTAATAAAATTATAATTGCTTGAATTTTGAAGTTTGTAGCGTTATAAACTTTTGTTCCAATCTAATATTTATGGCTACGATATGCGTACAAGAGAGTAGTTTTTAAGATGAATTTTGTGAATGCTTCGTTAAGCGGGAAAGTAATATTGTATTGTTATTTTTTTATCAGTATTGTTATATTTTCGTCCATGCATCAGTCACTTTTTTGATCTACGACGACTGATAAATAATTGTTTGTATGCACGTGGAGATATTTTGGCTTTCAAGGAACCAATGACGTGTATGAAGATTTTATTAAATCTTTCTTAAAATATATATACAGATGCTTCTCTATGCGTATACGAGACGAATGTTCGCACATCCATGAACGAAACGACGCAATACCGATCCTACCGTTTTCTTCCGTAGCTGTTTACGTTTTCTCTTGTCTCTCATCCTCTTCCTCGTCAATTGCGACTATGCGCGATCCAATTTTGTAAATGTGAATCATACGAGTCGCGCACATCACGTCTACGCCGCTTAACTGTATCTTTCTTACTACCGAGAATGTGGATGATAACGATAACGCCGACCAAGCCGTCGAACGTATTGATAAACGATTCCGAAGTTGTTACCATCGTTGCGCGATCAGTAGTGGAATTCCTTCGGTGGGCGAAGTTGATTCTTGTTAGTTGTGGAGAGACTTCCAGCGATCGATCGTCATAGACTCGTGTAACTGTATACGTTATCTCTTTTCGCGTAATCACGACAATTATCGTCTACGTGTGCGTGCCCCTGAACTGTGAGCTAAGCTAATTGATGGAAGTGAAATCATAATGTCCTTCGCGTTAACTTGGGTGTCATGAGTCAATATATCTAACCAAATCACTAAGGACTCGATGATCTCGGAGGAAAGAAACACTTGTGATAAATAAATCGGATACTTAGGTATATTTTTTATTGAATGTTTCTGACGTGACGTAATAATTAGAAACTACTGCGTCGGTAAAATTGTCACATTCGAGCGCTAAATGTTATCTGGTAATAATCTTTCTTTAATTATAACGGGGCGGGGCGTGTTATTGATATTGTATTTATTTGCTTGCTGCACACAGGATTTTGCACGAGTTAAATTGTAATTACTTCGTAAGTCATTTATATCTATTTAATTTTAGCAAAAATTTTCAGCATTAGCTAATTAAGCTCCAATTTATAAAGCCTGAAAAGGATAAGCTCCAATTTAAAAAATGCCTGAAAAATTCGAAAGCTTGTGATGAAGAGTTTCCGCGTTTAGTTTTTCTGCGCTTTTCTATCAAAATTGTCCGACGCTTTTATCAGGAAGAAAAAGAAATTTTTAGGAGACTCGGACTGCGTTCATTTTGGATGCTTACAATCTTATTTTATATATACGATAATCTTTTCGGAAGCCTGTTTGAAAGTACGCGCGAGAATGGCCTGCGATCACGTGGACGTTGTGGAGGTCGTGGTCGTGACTCGTGGATGAGGCCTAGTTACATTTCGAGAACATGTTTGCGATGTCGTGGTACCTCCAATGATGGATACATCTATAGTACAAAGGGTAGGCAAGAAAGAGGGAGAGGGGCGGCGGGATGAACGGATTATACGACGAATTTGTGCGCACCGTCTCATTAACTGTTGATAAGTGGAGCCGTCAATTGAATGCCTCATTCAGCACTATCACTTAGAAAACTTTTGTAGGCGCGGATTTGAGCGGGGCGTGTTTAGCTGCGTTGGGCGACGAGGACGAGGAAGAAGAAGAAGAAGAAGAAGAAGAAGATGCTGTCGTGAAACCCGAACTCCGACCTGGCCCCCGGCAGGCACTACGGACGCGATAAACAATGTTGACGTGAGTCAATGGCGCTCCGCGAGCAAGAAGACGTTGCAAGGGACGGGATAAGACGAGGGTGAGAGGAGCAGAGCGAAAGCAAGATTACAGAACGATGTTACTGCCTGTGCGAGTAGATAAGACGTGTTAATCGTGGAGAACGCTGATCCAAGAGCAATGGATGATGAACAGCCGGCGAGGGAAGCCAACAAGATCTGTGGAGTCTGTGGTGACCGGGCACTTGGTTACAACTTCAACGCTGTCTCTTGTGAGAGCTGCAAGGCTTTCTTCAGGAGAAACGCATTGAAGAACAAGGTGAATTCCTCCCCCAATATGAAGCATTTTTATTATCTGATTATCTCGCAGAGTAAATAATCTTAATTCCATATTCAAAAAAACCTTGATTTTGAATCTAGTCCGTATTTATAGTTAGATCTTATATTTAAGACTTCCTTAAATTTATCTTTAGATGCTCAGTAGTCAATAAAGTAATTCGTAGAGCATCTAAAGATAAATTTAAGGAAGCCTTAAATATAAGGCTTGATTATGAATACGGGTATAATTTCTCGAATTCTTCGAGACTCCATTGAATTTTCTGTTCACATAATTATTTCTGAGGAAACTGCTTTAAAAAGAAATTTCATTTTATCTTCCAGCATTAATTTTAATGTCGAAAAATTCTTTCTTAAATTTAAATATGACTTATTAAAAGAATTATACATTAGATAAACGTTGTTGGATGATTGCATATGACTCATTAGTAATCTAATGCTTTATGAACTTCAAGTTCTCGAAAAAAAAAATCACGTCATTGTGTTAAATGTATTGGTTAGTTTGAATCATTTCGAAAGAACTCAAGAAGATTAATCTTAATATTAAAAAGAATTTAATTCAAATTCAGTTTTTTTATCATTTAAAAAGTGGATCAAATCTTTTTTAAACCGAAAATTTTTTTAATTTTCTATAATTAATTAATAATTTCATGTTTTGAAGATCTCGTTATTGAGAAGAACTTTGTAGTATTCATCGGTCGATCGTAATTTGTTTACTAATGCGATTGGAACATCTCATTTGACCTTCCAAAAGATTAATAATGGATATATAGAAAATGCAATTATTAATCTTAAAAGCAACATCTGCACATTGAAATTTATTGATAATGGACTGTTAAGAATATTAGATAAGATGTATTTTCTTTCAGATACTGATGTTTTAGTACTTAAAGCTGATATTTTTGCATTTAAAATAATTTTCATTTAGCAGGGCAAAAAATTATTATGATTTATTTGTGAGATTAATTAAAAACAGACCGATACGGATATCAAGATAACGAAATTCTTTGCTTATATGATATTTTTGAAATTTATAAGAATGTTATCAGTAAAATAGCATACTTTATACATTAAGCTAAAAAGAAACATGTATTCTTGTTGTAGGACTTTAAATGCCCCTTCACGGAAAACTGTAACATCACGACTATAACCAGACGATTTTGTCAAAAATGTCGTTTGGATAAATGTTTCAATATTGGCATGCGCAAGGAATATATTATGTCTGAGGAGGACAAAGTCTTGAAACGTAAGAAGATCGAAAAGAACCGCGCAAAGAAACGATCTCAGCTTGACAATGGCAAAACATCGAAGACCAAAAAGGACTGCGTGGACGACTGTACGTTTGAAGACACGTCAATGTCGGTCAATTCGGTCGCGTCGACAATATCGGAAACATACTTTTGGGAGTCCGATAGAAAATACACAGACCTAGATAGCAATAGGCAAAACGTCGTTGAAAGTATAAGCCCAGTGACAGCAGCGAGCGTGCCAAGTCCTTCAAGTCCACCAGAGAATACGAATATCGCCGAAACAAAAACTTTAGACATGCTGAAGGAGTCCGTTCACGGTTTGAGGACTAATCTTGTAAGGTATGACCAATTTATCTAATATGTAGAGAAGGACATAGAAGTGAATTAATCAATAAAGATTAAATAGATATTGTCTGTTTACAGCCGCGCGAGATTCGCCGATCTCAATGTAGCGCCTCAGAGTGTAGGGACGGACAAAAACTCTTCTCTGAATTCAGGGAAATACGATCAAAATTCATTGCAATTCAATTCAGAGTTCGCAAATGTTAACCGCGAATCATCAAATTACAGCTCTGCGTTCGAAGAAAATGTGCCAAATTATTCCAAATTTGAGCAAACTCGCGAACAGAATTCTTACGTAGATCGCGCTTTGCAAGGCGAGACAAGTCAATCTGACCTGAATTCGTCGTCGCAACTTACGAAAGAAGAAACATCAATATGTCAAAAGCCGAAGGAAACGTGTTCGAGCGGGAGTAATTTGGTCGCAAAGTTTAAGCAGAATCCCAGCCTACTGACAAAGTTTGTCAGTAATCCAAATTTAGTAGCGAAAATATTTCAAGATCGGAGAGTAATAATGAAGATTATGACGAATCCTGACATGGTCACGTGCTTGGCAACGGATCCATATATCACGCAATTCTTGGAGGAGAACAACGCAATCGATACGACGATCATTGGGCATGATTTCAAAACAAAAGTTCAATCCAAAGAAACTCCGGAAAATAATAGCGGTTCGAGTGATTCTAGATATACGCTAAGATCTAAAGGGAGTCACGTGGAAAATCCAATCCTGACGGACTTGATTACGAATCGTAACTCGGAAGATTGCAAAGATCAAAATTTAGAACCTAATATAAATACAGACTGGAATAAAAATACAGCTGACGTTACCAGAGATATTCTTCAGGATGTTCAAAGGTAGTCCGATGCATCATATTAGGTGTCATATTTTAACGATACGCTATGAAATCCGCTTAAAATTTAATATTTGTTTCAGGATAGCAATTGCTGCCAATTCTATAGAGTCTATCTTATGTGAAGCCATCAAATTAGAATACTCAGCATTTTCTAGTTTCGGTGGTAACCAAAGCAGCAGGGAATTGAATGATGCCGAGAGAGCGAAATTGAATGAGCTGATAGTTGCTAACAAAGCATTATTAGCTCCGTTAGACGATGATATAACGAATTTGGTTGATGAGGACTGTAAATTCAAAGTAACATATCCAAAATGTTATGTCTTTCGTATATGTATAATTTGGGAAAGATAGATAATATAAACATAAAATATTTATTTGCAGAGTAATTTTGGACAATCTGATCCAATGTTGTTAGATGTTATAAATTTAACGGCTATAGCAATTAGACGCTTGATAAAGATGTCTAAGAAGATAAACGCCTTTAAGAATATGTGTCAAGAGGATCAGTTGGCTCTGTTAAAAGGTGGCTGTACAGAAATGATGATCTTAAGATCAGCCATTAATTACGATTCGGATAAAGACATGTGGAAGATACCCCATAGTCAAGAGAGCATGTCAAGTATCAAAGTTGACGTTCTGAAAGAAGCGAAAGGAAATTTATATGCGGAACACGCAAGGTTCGTCAGAACATTTGACCCTCGGTGGCGAGATGAAAACATCATTTTGATTTTAAGCGCAATTGCTTTGTTTACTCCTGATAGACCGAGAGTTGTACATGGTGATGTTATTAAATTGGAGCAGGTAAGTCAAACAATTTTTTAAGTAACTTATTCTAAAACATTCTTATACATTAAAATACATGTATATGATTTACAGAAAAATTTACATAATATTAAATCAATATAAAAGTTAACAGTCAATTTATAACATGTTTTCTTTAGAAAAGTCTTATTTTTTTTAGTCTGATACGAAACATTTAAAAAATTAAATTTGTAAGATTATATTTTTTATAGATTTCTTTCTTTCAGAATTCGTACTATTATCTCCTTAGACGATATCTCGAGAGTGTTTATCCTGGTTGCGAAGCTAAGTCCACATTCCTCAAGTTAATACAGAAGATTTCTGAACTCCATAAACTGAATGATGAGGTCGTGGGAGTTTACTTGAACGTCAATCCATCCAGCGTAGAGCCGCTGCTTATAGAAATATTCGATTTAAAGCACTGATTATTAGTTTGTAAAGTCATGAGTTTCTACTTTATGTGTATAATAGGGAAATTGAGTTAGTGCATTCGAATATAGCATTCGTTGCACATGTTTCTAGGGTTATTCATAAACGAGGAAAATATGCGATAGCTATATCGCCGATCTGGATATTTTTTATGAAAATGTGATTATTTAAGTAAAATTTCAACTGGATTGCCTCCTGTATAAATGGTATCAATACGTTTAAATATCTTCAAGCGATGAAATGAAAACTATATATATATATGTAAAAATATCGAAATAGTTAACGTGAAACTGAAATGTATACGCGTAAAAATCGCCAAGAATTAACTATATTTAGAATATAGACATGAATCCAAATGGATATCAATGTCTATTATAGTTTTTCAGTCCTCATCACAAGTGGAACGAGTGATTTGTGCGTCTCAATCCGAATAAAGTTGATTAAACTAGGACATTAAGGTAAGAGTGCCGTAATTAACAATAACAATATTTTGCTTCTTAGCAAGCACATGTTATATCATTAAGTATTTCGCGAAGTATCTTGAACTCGATATCATTCTCAATGCGTACTGAGAATACATGTATGCGTACAACGACAGCATAATAATTCCTAAATGGCTGTTTCGATCATGTTTTCGAGAAATAGTTAAATATATATATATATATATATTTTTAAACACAGGATCGTTAAATTTTAAGTAAATGAATGTTATTCAATGCAACAAGTTCATATATTTCATATATATATATATGTGTGTGTGTATATATATATATATATGTATATAATATATATTATAGAATTATAATTGTCGTTAAAAATTTGTTTTTAAAAAAGATTCTAATGATAAAAACTCAACTATATGAATTATGGTAGTTCCAGCTTTAGCCAGAGTCTACATGTAAATAAGAGAGAGATATTATACTTGTATATGTGTGTTGCTGCAATGTACACGAGATAAATTGTGATATCCTGATATAAATATATTTTTCAAAAATATATTGCCACATAATTTCATGCCA